AAAAACATAAATACAATTAAAAGTTATAAAAACCAAACATTAGAAACATAAAAAGCTAAAATGTAAAATTATGTAATTACTTTCTTAGCATTCCGTTCAAAAAGATGATCTTTTAATTAATTTGTATTAATCCATTGCAGGATACCAAAACTTAAACAAAAGATAAGTTAAAGCAACTCAGTGATTTCTTTTTAAATTAAAACGAGTCATAATTCCCCCAGCAGCTTCTATGTAACCAGTTAGAGCTAATACTGAAATGTGCTTTTTAATCCATTAAAAAAAAAAAAGGCTTTAAATGCACAGAGTGAAAGAGAAGGCAATATTAGTGAGGTTTACTAAAGAATATTTGACTTAACTTCTAGATATATGAAGAAAAAGTTCTACACTGGGGGAAGTTTCCAATTATCCGAGCAGGAGCGCGCTGTTTTAGAATTCATCCATTCTGGAGATGGATCAGACTTCCCGTTTTTGAAAGTCTCAGTTTTAGTTCCCTTAAAAGACATTCATTTTCTCCTGCCTGAGGCACCAGAAATATTCTCCACTCGCAAACTAGAGTCAGTCGCTGAATATATTAGAGGGAAAGTGGAAAACAGGACGGAGGTATTCTAGGAGTGGAAATCGGATGGCAGCAAAGCGGTTCCCCCGTAAGTGCTGGATGCTGTCCAGAGGCTTCAGTAGACGAGGAGTGCAAACAGGAACGCAAATAACGCTGAAGCTTTAAGGGATGGAAACATCTGAAGGGAAACCTAGAAGCGGAAAAGAGCAGCGCCGTCACTTACGGGCTGAGGAGCCGAACGAGTCTGCAGAATCCGCTACGGGGCGGGGGGCTCCCATCGAGAAACCTCGGACGTCCGTTGCTGCCTCCTTTTCCTGCGTCCCTCGCCTCTGGCAGGGCCGAAGAGCTGTCGCCATCCGCTGGCCGCGGCTATGTCCGCCGGGGCCGACTTGCCTCCTGCCGGGCCGCCCCATCGCAGCGAGCACCGTCCCTGGCCCAAAGGAAGACGTTCGCAGTGGGGCTGCCTTGCTTGCAGCCCCCGCCTGTCTCGCAGCAGCTCCTGGGGAGGGGACTGACGCCTCCTGCCCATCGCGCTCCGCAGCCAACGGAAGACGGGGAAATGGGCGGGCATTCCAGCAACCCATTCCATGTTGGGGGGGCGTACTTTTCTTCACCCCCTTCTTGCATCATCATCATCATCATCATCACCATCATTTCCATCCCTTAAAGCTCTAAGTTCGTCTTTATACAGTTTCTCGTGGCATCTGTTTCAGCTGCTGTCTTG